TGGAATCATACTACTGCGCCCTTGAAACGCTTCTCTTGAAAAGGCTGAGGTAGGCGGTGGACGGAGAATTTTTCCAAATCAGGCTTTAAAACACCTGAACGTACCAAGTTTTCAATCTGCATGAAATTACTGAGTATTGCCGACTATTCCAGTTGCCTTGGTTTGCCATTTTCATCGACTTTAGTGTTCAATGCATCGTTCGACGATGTGGAAAATCTGCAAACAGTATAGGATACCCGGGCGTGTGTTTTCCATCGTGGAAGAAATGCATCAGGAACCGTATCTGCTGTCGAAGTTGAAGCAGAGCTATTTGACTGGTTATCTATTAACGGTAGAGCTTAAAATGTGCTTTCTCCCTTGCCATTTAGGATTGTTCTCAACACTTCTTTGAAGCTGTGCTGATCCTGGTAAAGCCGAAGGTCTCACTCTAGATGAAAGGCGCAGTTCAATATATCCCGCTAGGTATCTTGCTGACCTAGAGTACGCCGACGATACTGCTGGCGAGTAACATGGGGAGTGCGCTCTGTCACATTATGGCTTCCGAAGGCTGCGAAAGACGACTTCTTCCTTAACGACCAGAAGTCAGAGGCTCTGAGGAACCCATCGGATACAGCTGATGTACAAGAGGAACAGGGTGGGGATGTCTTTCAAGTCGCTGCCCAGTTTAAGTATCTCAGTTCCATCATTTCTGGGATGGCACAAACCAGCCAGACTTAAATAGATGGATCGCTTTAGCCTCGACTGCTAGTGAAAACCTGTCTAATATTTCGAGTGAGAAAAGGTAGCTCTTCCAACGAAATTCTGCACGTACGTTGCATCTGCCAGATCAGCGTCGTTGTTCTACCAACGAAATAAATGCCGGTTGAACCGAGTATAGCAGCGTCGCCTTATACGCATGATAAGAGTTAAATGGCAGAACCACGTAAGGAATGACTCTATTCATTTTTCGGCACAGATGCTTTCAGTAGATGTGAAAATTAAGAATAGAGGTTGTCCCTGCTATGCAAGCTGTTTGAGCGCAAACCATTACTCCATCCCGTGAGTTTCTCTTGTGGAATCCGAAATGCACCCCGTCCCGTCGACCAGGAGGCCAGCATGCTACATGTAAGAGCAATCTAAAGGCAAATCTGCTTCCGGAGAAGAATATTTCCTTCTTCATGCAGTAGGCGGCGCCCTATCGCAACGGCGTTGGAAAACTACGGGTAGAGCGGAGATGTTCTGCTTATGCAAACAACGAAAAATGATGATTTCAACAAACACGCAACATATTAACACACGGTCACTCTTGCAGCGCTCCTCGACTACAGGTTTGTTTTCAAAGTGATCCTTACGACGGTTTGATTAATTTGTGGATATTAAAAAACCTTCACGCTCTCTTGTTCACCTCCTTGTTTCAGAAATTTCTCTCCATATACTACCATATCCAGTCGATCAATGCTGGACCAACAGTAATTGATGAAAATCGGTCCATTCTACATCTCATTCAACAAGGACAAAATCTTCTTACGGTGACATGACACACGTGCATCGAAACGCTAGGCGAGCAAGTAGCAATTTTACCATCGCCTTGAATATAATAAAACTTGTAAATATGTCAATTCTCAGAAACCAAAAAAGCATCCAACCGTAGTTTGTAAAACCCTTAATCCTGCCCGTTGCGGTCTGTGAATGAGAAAGTGATTGCTAACCATCAAGGAACTCGAGTATGCTGAAGCTTTGTAAATGTGGTGCTGCAAACATCGGTTAAGAACCTCCTGCGTTTAGCTGCAAACAACGATAGGGTCTTAAACCACTTAGGCATTCATCTGTCATATAAAAGAAACTGCAATATTGGATAATATCATAAGAAAGACTTGCAACTCTATGGAAGAGGGATAACTAAAAAGCTTTATTCTGCGATTGAAACCGAGAAGAAGATGGAGATTCCGTTATATGAATGATATATCACGACAGAAATAACTGATTATCATCGATGTTCCGATGGTAGCGCATGAACAGCAGGAAAGACTCGCAATTGCATATCGCACCCTCTACCTTAGAAGATCACACGAAATTAGATAAAACTTAAGTAAATCTTAGATTGAATCATTATACTATGTGCCTTTGCTCTTTTACATTTCCATTACGAACTTTGGATTAGGTTTTTTCATACACATGTTTGTCCAATTTATTTAATTTCACAATTAAAAAATGCTCAATTGACACATGAAATATCTTCACTTACTCACCTTATTACTACCTAATAAGTTTATTTTTAGTTCAAACTTTGTCATGTAATAAGTTCGTTACATGTAAGTGGTCAAAGATAATTAATAACACAGCGTCTCAGCAAGAGTAGAATTTACGCTAAATCAATTTCTGAGGACCGAACAGGATTAAAGTTGCTTATCGTTTGCGCTCCTGAGGTAGCCATAATCATGAAGCATATGCTTCGAAGTAACACTTGTTTCGAGGTCGCTCCTTAGTGAATCAGTTAAAACACTCAATGAGACACTTTACGACGATCAGGCGACACTGTTGCCTGAGCAGATGCTGGAAGGTCATGGTGAGTTACGCCTCGGTATCAGACATAGCAGCAAGTTGCACTTTCGCCACCAACGGAACAGTGACCTGTAAGAGGAAATTTGATCGATGGCCAACGGCTATGCAATGACACCTCGGAACCTGTCGCCGTTATCGCGCGGCCATTAATGGCTTGACCTTTTCCGGGCTGTTCTCGTCATCGCCTTACATTGATTGGTCCTGTTACGTCGAGTCAGATGCCCACCATCGACCGCGACCCTAATTTTATACCAATGATCCATGCTTGCTGATCGGACACAATGGTGTTGCCTCACAGCTTAAACAATGCAGGTGGAATGCTGATCGGCGGCTTCTGATCATTGAATGGGAATCGAATCGGTTACCCTCGAGACACCTGCCGAGCCATGTATGCGGTGATGAAGGACACTGACCACGTACAAAGCCTTTGATTGTTCGTAACCATCCGTATTAATTATCGTGGACGAGGCAAAACCGGGCAACAGATGTCAGAGGTTATCTCAGGTTTTCTCATCCGTTTTGCTGGTCATGGTTTT